TTTTTAATTACTGTGTGTCTTGCAGATAAATCTTGGGTAATGACCAGTTGGTCTCGAATAAACCTTATCTAGAGATATTTTTTCTTGATCTTTTATGTATAATTTGTCAGTAGATTGTAGGAATAATATGGTTCCCTCTGGTTTTTGTGACTAGCTAGGCATTGTTTCTCTCTTGTATCGTCTCCCCCCTCTATCATGGTTTTCCCACTTAAGGTGCCTGCACTTCCCCCCCTTTCTTCCTTACTAATACCCTTGCTCTTATGATCCTACCTCTGTTGAACTGCTTCTTTCTCCTTATCCCCTAGGGTTCTCATATGCCCTTCCCTCCCCCCTCCCCTAATCTAACCCAATTTTTATCCATATCTCCCTTCTTAAGGTCTGTTGCCTACTATTCTTCTCCTTCAGGTTATTTCTTTTCCTGAAAAAAAGGAAACTTTTGAAACCACTTTCTCCTTGGCTTAAGTTCCTCCATCCTGCAATAGTCACAGATACTGACTTCAGTGTGGTGGTCACTATTGAACAGTGCTGCGTTCCTTACACCGCACAATAACAGGTGAAGACTTAGCATTTATTTCCCAAACACACCTGGCTATATTAGGCATCCATTACATACCCCAAATTTTGACTAAGTATATTCAAATAAATAATACATGTGCCCAAATGAACCACATTTAAAAACATTGGCCAGAGTATGCTTGAGTGTCCCAATGTGACAGAGAAGTCTATTGCCAGTGCCAGTAAGAGACAAGGTGGATTATTCAAATATTAAATTCGATTTGAAAAATATATTAAAATGCTATTTACCTCTATTTGTTCACTTTGTAAAATATATTTGAATTGAACTTCATGGGGATTTATTTAAAGTTATATTGTTAAGCTGTGTAAAAACAAAAAAACTGTTACTGTATTTTGGAGGTATGTAGGTATTTCTCATGAGAATGAAAACTAAGATAAGAGGAAGGAGACATGTTTGGTGGGCTATAGTGGGAGTTGGAGGGGGAAGTGCAGATAGTATGATTGTATTTCATAGTATACACATGAAATTCTTAAAGAACAAAAATTATAAAAACTAATCAGCCATAAACAATAATAATAAAATCTGAAATGAATATATTTCTAATGAGATTTTTCATTTAAGTTCTTATCAATTCAAATATAAATTTCAGGGACTGGAGAAATGGCTCAGCAGTTAAAAGTATGTACTGCTCTTGCAGAGGACCCAAGTTTGGTTCCTAGCACCCATGTAGGTGGATCACTACCACCTGTAACTCCAGCTCTAGGGGATTTCATACAGTCTTCTGGCCTTGCAGGCAATTGTACTCACATACTTCCAAACAAACACACATGCATACACATAGTTAAAAATAAATACAAATCTTAAATATATATATGCTTGAAAAAAGAATTTTAAGAGCTAATACCCACACATGCCATTTTCCTACTTGACCGAGCCTGGTTCATGAGCTGTTGATCTTGTAATGATCCACCTGAGGGAAGTTCTATTTGACTCATTTATCCTCACGTTTCTATGTTGGTTTGGAGGTGAAATACCTAGATCCACAAAATTGTAAGTTTGAGCAAGAGAATGAATGAATACATCAGTAATCTTTTCTTCTCTTAATTACTAATTATGCTTCCCTGATTTTTATCATCATACTAATCTTTTCTGAATCAATTTCCACTTTCTGTAAGTACCAGTTTGAAGCATATTATGTATGCGTATTGCCCATCTTCTAGTCTAACTCTTATTTAATTGAGAGGAGAGAGTGTCACTAAAATAGAAACCCATTGTATGATTACCATGACTTAGTAGCATTCAAAGTGGTACCGCAAGCTATGTGTGATAGCTCATGTCTGTAATCTCCTCTCTTGGGAAACTGAGGCAAAAGTGCTATGACAGTTTTGAGACTTGACTGGGTTTATAATGAGATCTAGAACAGTTTGGTTGACTAAGATGTCTAAAAAAAGCAAAACAAAATAAAAGTATCAGGATAGTTAATACACAAACAAATATTTTTTTCCCAATGTAGCTATCTTAGTGATAAACAATATGAAAAACAACGTGGGGAGGAGCTTACTTCAGCTTAAACTTTACTGTCCGTCATGAAGGGACGCCAATGCAGGGACTCAAGGCAGGAAACTGAAGGCAGAAATGAAAGCAGAAGCTGTGGAAGAAAGCTGCTTACTGGGCTGTTTCACGTGGCTTGCTCTGCGATCTTCCTTGTACAGCCCAGGCCCATCTGCCTAAGGTTGTTACAGCCCACAGTGGGCGAGGCCCTCCTACACCAAATAGGAATCAGGATAAAGGCCCACCGACAGGCCAATCTGATCAGAAGAAATTTCTCAACTGAGGTTTCCTTTCCCCAAGTGTCTTGTTTTGTGTCATGTTGACAAAAACAATCAGTATAATAGCTACAGTTCTATGCTGCTTAACGTATTTCTTGCTATAGTTTGAACATACTGCTACTGCAGCATCTTACAACTTTGTCCGATACCTGTTTTCACCATAATTCATAAAGGGTTTGGATTTTTGTTTATATGTTTATTGTGTTTGTAGGGCATCAAGCATGCTGATTAAGAGCTCTGCCAGTGATTTCTTTCCCCAGTCCTCTTTTTGAGAAAGGGTCTCATTAAGTTGCCAGGTTAGTCTTTTACTTGCTCTATAGGATAGCAAATCTGGAATTTAAGATCCCTTTGCCTTAGCCTACCAAGTTACAAAGATTACAGGCCTATGCCACCAGATGCAGCATCAATTCTCATGTATGCGTTTACAGTTTACAGGTGACTATCTAATTCTAAGTAACTTTTAACTTTATTTCCTTACTTAAATTTATGGGAAACACATTTTAAGTTGCAAATTTCATGAAGTACCCAGACTACTAAATTCATATTTTAATAATCAAATAGTAGTAACCAGATTCAATTTATTCCTTATTAAATACTGTATTCAACAAAATTTTGACAGAACTCCTGCCATCATGTTGGGAAAGAAAAGTTGAAAGACGTTTTTCTGAATCAACATATGGTCCTAGGGAGGAAATTCATAAAGCAGAATATGGTATGAAAAGCAAAAGGCAGAATGCTTGT